TTTGATAATAAAGCGTCCAAACAAATTCTTGAAGAACAGGGTATTAATTGTAGAATTATGATGCCATATTCACCTGAACAGCTGGGTGGTGTAGAGCGAGAAAATCGTACTTTGGTGGAGTCAGCAAGAAGTATGTTGCATGCAAAGGGTTTCCCAGGGGAATTATAGGTAGAAGCTGTAAACACAGCAGCCTACGTTATTAATACAAGTGGCCCAACGAGAGTAGAAAACCAGGCGCCGATATTTATTTGAAAGGGGGAACAACCTCTAGTAAGTCACTTGCAAGTTTTTGGAAAAGAATGCTTTGTCCATGTGCCAAAACAGAAGATGATAAAGTGGGACCGAAAAAATAAAAGGAGTTTTTTGGTTGGTAATTTTGGTAATAAAGATGGATTTAGAATATGGTTTCCTCACAAAAGGAATGATACTCTAAGCAGGGATGTTAAAGAAACAGTTAAAGATTCAGTTATTTTTTTACGACAATTTTAAATCTCATACCACCCAGATATTCCTCAATCTCCCATCATACGAAACAAAAAAATGGCAGATGAGGCACCGTTAACCTCTACTACAGATAGTTTTGCTAGAAGTCAAGAAAAGTTATAGGAAGAAGTAATAAAATCTAGGTTATGTGACAGATCAGAAAATAACAAACCAGTCATAGCAACTGAAGAAACTGCCACTATAGAAGAGGCACTTTCTTCTGATTTGGCAGCAGAATGGAAACAAGCGATGAAGGAAGAAGTAGAATCTCTTCTTGAAAATCAAACCTAGAAACTGGTAGAAAGGCCGCGTTGACGAAAACTGAATAAAAATCGTTGGATTTTTAAAATTAAGAAATACTGTCTGGGAAACGTCCGTCATAAGGCAAGATTGGTTGCCAAAGGCTACTCACAACAAAAAATGGTTGATTATGTAGAAACATTTTCTCCTATTGTTAGGTATGATATAATAAGAACTGTTTTAGCTATTGCTGTTTCAGAGAATCTCCATGTATCTCAATTTAATGTTAAAACAGCCTTCTTGTATGGTAATCTGGAGAAAGAAATCTACATGGAGCAGCCTAAAGCATTTAAAGACGAACGGACAGAGTTTGTAAACTTTCTAAAAGCCTTTATGGTCTGAAACAATCCTCCAGATGTTGGAATAAAAATTTTACAGAGTTCCTAAAAAAAAACGAGTTTACTTCAGAGTATTGCCAATTCTTGCTTTTTCTGAAGGAAACCACCTGCTAAGCTTTTAGTAACTCTGTACGTTAATGATGGGCTTGTTGTTGGTGAAGATTTAAACGTAAATACATAATTCTTATAAAAATTAAAATCTCAGTTTAAGGCAACGATAACCTCAAATTTAAATAGTTATTTGGGAATACAAATTCACCAATTTGTTAACAAGATTTTTATCAATCAAGAAAGATTTTAAATAAATTTAGTATGGAAGATTGTAATGCGATAGCGATACCCATGGAGAAGGGTCAGTATATAGGGGAAGATGATCATGAGGACTATTACCTAGACCCAGTTTATCCCTTTAAATCAGCTATTGGTAGCTTGATGCACTTGTCGGCTGGAACCAGGCCAGATATAACTTTTGCAGTACACTTTTTAGCACAAGTTGTGGCTTAACCGAAAAACCAGCTCTGGAAAATGTTAAAACGCATTTTTAAATATTTAAAGGACCCTATAGAATTTGGCATACTTTATCAAACCGATCAAGACACTTTGAAAGCTTATAGTGATTCGGACTATGCTAGAGACTTGAACACTAGAAAGTCCACATCAGGTTTTGTTCGTCTACTCAGTCAAGGAGCTGTCAGTTAGTATGATCAAAAACAGAAATGTTTCGACGATGGAAGCAGAGTGTATTGTGGGATCTGAAGCAGCAAAAGAAATAATTTGGTTTTGAAGAGTACCTAATGAAATTTAAACAAAAATAGAAGAAGTGCCCACTCTAATGTTTAAAGTAATTCATATCTGTGGAACAGAACAGCTGGCAGATATTAGGACAAAGCCGCTTTGTACAAATCAATTTTAAAAACTAAGAGGTTTACTTGGAATAATTAGTCTTTAGAATTAAGTTCAAGGAGAAGTATTGAGAATTGAAGATTATTTTTGAAGATCACAGTAGTTTACAATTTTTTTTTTTTTATTAACTTCACTTTTGATTTTGTCATATTGATTTTTAAACGTTTAATAAAAATTTACACATTTTAGTTATTTACATCTTCTGTTAACCACTACTAAGATATTCTATTAAAAAAAAAACAAAACAGATAATTAGAAACTAGATGTTCTACTCGTCCTTGAAGAGAATCATTATACCAGTTCACGACAAGTAGCACTAAATAATAACATCAACCATTCAGGACTTCTTACAAAAATAAAGTTACTTTAATTGAGGTAGACAATTTGTATAGGCTAATTAAATTTTGGAAAAATATCGCACTTTGTAGGCAAAGTTTAGATCCTCGTTGTATCTGCTGTATATTCCCAAAAAAATGGTTTTCATACCCAAATATGGATGGATGGATTAAATTCTCCCTAAAATATATCGACCAATTAGTTTGACATCATTTTCATTGAAGACATTGGAATGGCTATTCAAACGGTACACGAGGGATGTGGTGATTACAACAACACCACTACACCCAAATCAACATACATTCCAGGCAAATCAACTGATTCAGCCTTAGGTGTTTACGTAGACATAGAAGGTGCTTTTGACAAAACCACCCAAGATAATGCACTTACTATCCAACAGAAATGCTTCACAGATAGTTTGTGGGTGGATATATAACATGGTCTCAATGCGAGCAGTCGCTTCAATATTAACAGTCTCTAATTAATAGCGTATGCTGGTTATTCTGCAAACAGAGAATTTTGAAAACATACTCTGCGAAAAAATGTAAGGTATTCTCAAAATTATAGAACAGAAGTGCAATAACCATTTAATGTCTATCACTCGCAAAAAGACAGAAATGGTCCATTTCACAAGAAAAAGGATAAAAATGGAACTAAAACATTCAGAGCTCCTAAACACAAAACTAAACTTTTCAATAGACGTGAAGTACCTAGGTCTCATATTTGCCAGCAAGTTACCATGGAACTGACACTTAGAAAACAGAGTTAAAAGAGCATAACATTGCTTATGAACAATGCTACCGAATTGTGGTTCTTCCCGATAGCATTCAGAATCTTCCAGCCGTATCAAATTTTTATTCCAACCTTGTTACAGAATATACTATTCAATATGATTTAACACATTCTCTTAATAAGAGAAATAAACATCCCTGGTCTCTGCATTCATTTTCTCTTTTCTTGAATTCTCAGCTTTTCCTACTTTTCTTTGGTTTGTTTTTACTTTGGGGATATGGGGTTGTATTTTTTATAATTTCGTATAAAGGATTGGGGATTATTCTATTCATATTTCCAAAATTAAAAAGAAAAATCTTGGACTTATTCTTGATTCAAGTCTGAAATGATTTTAAACGAAGTAAACATTTTCTTGGGCTAAGAAAGTTGTCTGATTTAAAGATATTTGTTACTTTAGCCAAGACAATTTCAGTCTTTCTAACAATTCTCTCTGCTAACTAGTAAATAAAAAAATATTTTATCAAAAAGACTTATTATACACGGTCCCCAATGTGTTGCATCGCAAGATGATGCGCCTCCACACTATGTTGTCTTGATGAGAAACCACTTTGACAACATCTTTTCAGAGAAGTGGATTGGGCGAAGAAGATCAATTGAATGAACACTTAGATCGCCAAATTTAACTCTTCTTTATTTATTTTCATGAGCATATTTAAGAAGTAAAGTAAACCAAAATAGATCATAAAATATTGATGAACTCACAGAACGCATACGGATTGAGGTGGCGCAAATAACTCCGTAACAAAATAAAAAATTGTGTTATAGCTGAGAGTCAATTCGGGTATTTGCTTTAAATTTCTTTATTTTTTTTTTATTAACAAAAAATATTAATTACTTAGTATAAAAAACATCAATTACTTAAATTTATTAATATCTTTGTAGAGATAATTAAAAGATCTTTCAAATGGTGTTGCTTGAACTACATTTCTATTTGAAACGTCAACGATGACGTCATCACGCTTACACAGATTACGTCACAAATTGAAAAAATATCTGATAGAAAACACGTTTAAAAATGGAAATCGACGGGTTTTAGGATTGTTTCCAACAAGTTTATAATGAATAAATTTGTAACTTGATTATATTCTATTGTGAATTAGTTTTTGTATTTTCAATACATGTCAGTTGTAGATCATTTTTCAAAAAATAAGAAAAAGTGAAAATCTCAAAACGTGGTTAAAAAATAGTTTTGTATACTTGGCGTTTAAAACTTGCTCTATTTTGGGTATAATACAATAATTATAATTTACCTTTAAATATTATATTTTTGTAATTAAAACAAACTGGCCAAAACTGTGACATACGTCGTTTCTCAAATAACCGATTAAAATGTAAAAAAATTCTATTTATCAATAAAAATACAATTTAAATTCATAAATGTAAGACTTGTCTCATTTTTTAAAACGTACCATTTTCTTGTTAAAAAATTATTTATAGCAAAAAAATAATGTGATAGTATTGATATAGAAACATAATTTACCTACTAAATAGTAGTAACATATTTAAAATTTATTTCAGTTCCAGTATTAAAGGGAAAATGTGAATTTCATTAACATTTGTTTTGAATTTTCGTTGTATTAATATTTTTATAATTTATATTTATAATATTGGATTTTTCTAGATATACCGTAGACAAAATAATTGATAAAATATGAACTAAAACTTCTACAACTAAAATAGATATTTTTCTCTGGTATATCAGATATCTGGTAATACGCAATTTTATCGAATGCGAACAGTAGTTCAATTAAATCTGCACCGATTTCTGAGCATCATGCTGCAGCCCATTTTGATATATTTTACAGAGATTTCTTGCTATTCTTTTTCTCTTTTTCTTCTTGCTGACAGGTGTTGCAGTCTCGGAACATTCTCAGGGGTAACAAATTATTAGGAAGCTTTAAATTAGACATCGCAACTGTATGGGCTCAACCAGGTACGCGATATGCTGTTATTTACGTGTTTCAGTGTTGCCATATATGGAAATATTTACCGAAATGTGGGATAATTTTAATTTTCTACATTATTTATTAGAAAAGTAATAAATACGTAAAATAGTTAAAAAACAATAAATCAGTAGTTTTAAAATTGTTTTTAAAAATGACACGAAATTTAATATTTTCAATAGTACTTTTAGGTATATTTAGCTTATACCACTCTCTCTTTTATTGACTATTATATTAGCAAGTAGTATTGCACTAGAGGTTGCTTTTACCCTAACAGTGGCATTTTATAGCAATACAAACTTTTCTTTATCAAAGTCCTTAGACACATTTGTTCATTTATATTTTATTGCTCACAAATTTTACAAATCAAGAGTTATTCAGAATTAAGATTTCTGATACAATACCAAAATAATTGAATTCGTATTTTATTTTTATATTTTGAGCTCCCATTTTGTATCTTCTTCTTTCTTTTGCTATTCTACTATTTCTTCTGTTTCATATCTTAAATATTTATAGTTCCAAAATTTCGTCGGATTTTTAATAGTGTGTATAATGTACAGTTTTATTCCTTATACCCACCTTCTATAACCTTTATTATCTTCCAAATAACTAATTATACGTGAATTTTTATTGACAAAGGGACGAATTGTCATATAAAAGTCATATACCCAGAAATCCAACCCCCTGGAACCCGGTAGCAATCCCCTATTTTTTAAGTAGAAAATCTGGCCAAGTCACACATAATTTAAAAGTAAATTTAGGGGATAATAAACTGTTACGTATTGTAAAGTATGATACTTCATACAATAGTTAATTTTATTACTGATTTAATGCCTACAATGACTAATAAAATTAGCTTTCAAAATAAACTTTACAATTCGTAACAGTTTTTATCCCGATAGAATCCAAAATGTCGTAAGGAATAGTCATATTGCTAAATTATTCATGAAAAATAGGGGTAGCTGCCAGGCTCCAGAAGATTGGATTTCTAGGAATGAATTTCATGAGACAATTCGTCTCCTTACCAATAAAAGTTGACGTGTTTTGTGATTATGTTTATATCTACGAAAATTCAAAAGTTATCTCGACTAAAAGTTTTGTGGCAATGACTGAATTTTGTTAAAAAGCCATCAAAAATACAGTGCTAAAACAAAAAATTATTAATATACTTTTTTTTTTTTGATGACACGACTTTACATGTGATTCCAGATAGTGTCATAACTCACTGAGAGTTTTATTTAAAACCCAGTACAAGTTTAGAATAAATACAGTATGAATTAAATAGACTCAGTGCAAGCTTAGAACCCAGTGCAGCTTCCAGATTCAGTGCGGACCTGTTCAATTATAAAGGCAAAGAAGATACTGGTTTTTGATAGCATCAAATATCTAGAAAAAATTTATATGTTTAATTTTAATTCGACACTAACGACAATGTCTCTTACTGAAATAAAAGAGGATAAAGATTTTACATTTACTTAATTCTTACCTAGGGATGTATTTCTATTCTAGACTAAAGACTAAGTGTAAACTTATTGATTAGGTATATTTTACACAAGCGGATGAGGTATGTTTCGTGGAAGAAATATCCTTACGCCTGAACCTTTGATACATTTACTTAAGATAGGCCAGATTATAACTTTTATAGTTTTCTGACATTTTTCTTTCAGTAATACAGAAAATTATAAATAATTTCGAGTTTTACTCTTTTGACATAAATGACCATGCCTTAGTCGTGGTAGTAGTGGCCTTTTGGACCACCAAACCTTGGTGACACCTGTTTACGAGTGTTTTGAGTTCAGAACTAATTAAATTCGACGCTGGTCTCTTGCTTTAATTCCACACCCTTTGAAAGAAACCTTTCTGTGGTAGCGTTTACCTCAAAGCGCCAGGACTCGAATACTATTGACGTTATGCTATTATCTATTTTAATTTTTACCTTAGAAGAATATACGATGGGGTTGAAACTTTGGTGATATCATTAAGATCTTTCAAATTTCTGCAAGAACGGTTTCAGGAGTGTTTAACATACAGATCATATAATAACTATACGTCAGCACTTTCATTGATTTTGTCACTGGACATTGCTCTGGACTTTAGGGTCAAATGGTTTGCTTAAATGTGTTGGTGACCTAAGAATTTCTCTTGCAAGATACGACTTGGAACCCATTAACAATGCTGCATAACTTCAGGGATTGGTGTTTCAATAAAGAAATTCCTAAAATAGAATTATCAGAAAAATTAGTGATATTATTAGCATTATTTATTGCGCATAGAATGCAAACCTTTAGCCTTATTAAATTAGAGTTTATATTATTTTTAGAACTAATAGGGTCAAGTCGTCAGGTAGAAACAAATTACAACAGTCTTTAACTCTCTCTTTCAGACCTAAAATCGTTGGGTAAAGTAAACTGAACTTATATGTAAGGTCCACAGCAGGCTGGTGGTTAAGTGAATCTTCTTGTTTTGCCGTTTTGTAACCAGCCTATAAGGCAGGATCTCACCTCTTTTGCAGATACCATTCTAATTTAGTTTATTATAGATTAAACTTTCGTTTGTTTTTGTTACACTTGTAAACATTTTCATAAAAGTTTATTGAAAATTGCCTCGTTTGTTATAGTCGCAACTGTCTTTAAACATCTACGTTTACTTTTATATCTGCTGTAACGTGTGGAGGGTGGGTTATCCCACGACACTTAGGCCTCACTAGGCCCATTGTGCATTCTGCGAAAATGATAGGCACCTCCTAGCTCGTGAGACAGCCTACAGATTTAATGTAGTTGACAAAGTCGCCAAGAGGTGCTTCTCTTATATCGGTCGGTGTTAGCCGATGCTCACCGAACAAAAATCTTCTAATTAATAAAGGCGTCAAGCAATCGTAGAGGATATCCTCTATTGTCTCATCTTCTTGTTCTCACTCCCTACAGAGTGCGGATTCTGACAGCCCCATGATATGTGAATAGGCGCAGATTCTAGCTAGTCGTAATCAAGTATTTGTTTGCTGCAGTGTTGTCAGGATATCTTAATAGCTCTCTGGAAAATCTGCAGTTTCTTGTTTCATCTAATCTTTCCTTGAATTTCACAAGGGAATGTTCTTTAATTAGTTCTGTCACTACCGATTTTGTCAGACCAATAGAAGTACCAGGTCCAAAAAGTATTTGGTTTGCTGTTTTTTGGCCAATGAATCAGCAAGAGGGTTACCTTTTGATGTGGCGTGACTTTTGATCCATCTTAAGGTGACCACATTGTTGATGGATACTTTGACCAAAGCTTCATGACATTATAGTACTAAGCCTGAGATAATTCAGGGTCTGTCCAGGACGAGTATGCTTCTCTGCAATCTGTATAGATGAGCATGTTTGTTCCAATGATATTGTTTCTGGTGATTTCTTTTGCTGGTATGAGAATCCCCATTAGCTCCGTTTGAACTACATCGGCACTATTGCTCACATCCAGTTTTATGTTTAGGTTCGAGGATCTGCAGTATATTCCTGCAGCCTTGTTTTGTTTTAGAACCCTCAGTATGGATATAAATCATACCTGTCACTTCCAGCCCTTCTATTTGTTCTAACTTTATATGGCTTATGGAAGATATATCTTGGTGAGATGGAGTCCATGTTCGCTTGAAGCAGCGGGAGCATATAGAGCGCCTCCTGCTAAAAACGACTTCTCGCCTCACCAGATCTTACATCAGGTTCTATTCCAACCGTGCGGAGGCATGTCATTGTCGTCAGAGCAGCCTCCCTGATGTAAATATCAAGAGGACTGAGACAAAAAAAGACTTAGATGGCTCTGGTCAGTATTGTTTTCATGGCTCCTGTTATGTTGAGACATGCTGTTCTTTGAATTTGTGCTAATTTACGGATATATGTCAATTTTTGGGTTTCGGTACCTAGACAACTGCACCGTATGTTAGTGAATGGGGATGATGCTGCTGGCTACATCCTCATCACGGTGCCAGTTCTTAGACTGGCCACAGCTCGTATCTTTTGGTTTAACACTAGCTGCGTCAATAAAAAAAAACTGCGAACTTTTGTACTCATATAATATTAGCATGAACAGGAACAGGAACAGGAACACATTAACATTCTTTTACAACTATTCTATTATCTAATACAGGGTTTCTTATATAAAAAAATTGAGATTATAAGAATAACTGACTTTTTCCGTTGACTTCTGCCCAAAAAACAACAACTTGCCTAGCGACCGTATTCCTACGTCCCAAAATTATTGTGACGCGCGAATGTTGCGAAACGGGATACCCGGGTAGCTCATTAGAAATGTGTCGTCATATATTTATTGTCAAAATTCCTACAGTTAGCATAGGTCTTATTATAGCAGTGTAAGTCAATGCGACGACTCTGGGAGAGAAACCACAGGTGCACCCCATGGTACGGCGGCATTGTTCATAAGCAATGTATGCTCTTTTGACCCTGTTTTTTAAATGCGAGTTCTATGTTAACTTGCTGTCAAAGGTGAGACCTAGGTACTTTACCTCTCTTGCAAAGTTTAGTTTCGTGTTTAGTAGTTCTGTCTTTCTCAGTAACTTTTTTAAATGTAATTGTTGGAACTGATGATTTCTTCCAGATATCTACTATGGTGTTTGCAGTTTTTGTTGCTATTATTGAAGCTGGTGGCTCTTTGCCAGCCATGAAGCCTTTTTTCTCATTCCTGACGAACAAGTAGTGTCGAATTACATCCGTATTCATCGTAAGTCTTAGCTGGGACATATCGGCAAGGGTTTTAAAGATAGGACAAAGGGTGGTTTTCCTGGTAGGAGTTTTTGCGCTCATTTTACTTTATTTGCTATCTGAAACAAAACAAACAATAGTTATTATAACATATTTAGCTATAAAAATTTAATTAACTTAAATAAAAGAAAATAACGTAAAAGTAACCAAAATATATTTGAAAGTCAGAATAAATGAAAACACATATTTTTTACTTAACCAAGGCACCTCCAAAAATGTTCCGAGAGCTTCCAATTTTTAAA